AAGGAGGAGGAGGAGGAGGAGGAGGGGGAGAAGGAGGATGAGGAGGAGGAGGAGGAGGAGGAGGAGGAGAAGGAGGAGGACCAGTGTACATCCAAGAGTCATCAACGATGTTGGAATATAGATATCCTCCCAAGCTCCCTCTTTCACAGGCCCCTGCAACGTTTCATTTCCACTGCGGGAGCTGCCTCGTTGGAAGACAACCGTCTGGAGACCCTGAAGCACGCCAATACATTGTTCTCGTGATTCCAACGCCACGGATCAGGATGACTGTTGCATCTTGACGATCCTAAACAGTGCCAGAAAGTCATTCTGAGAACTGAAACACCGCGAGCGAAGGTAATTGTTGCATCATCACCAGCGTCCTTCCAAACACACAACATGTCTCACACTCCTTCACATGAAAAACGAATGTGCGCGGCGCTGTAGCGAGAGCCACATTTTGAAAAGGAACCGCCCTCAATCCGTGGAGCTCTTGCAAGTTGTGTTTTGGTTGAAAAACCCAGGATGCGCGCGGCGCTAAGGCCAGAGCCACATTTTGAACACTACCCGCTCTCAACCCGTGAAACTCTTGCAAGTTGATAAAACGAACGTGCGCGGCGCGAAGGCGAGAGCCACTGAAAACGACCCGCCCTCCATCGGTGAAGTGGTTGCGAATGCTTAAGCTTCAGGGTCATGGGCGATGAAGTCTCAGGCGACACGCCCAGCCCGCCCTGAAAGCTGCCTTCGGGGTGCGGCAGGAAGGAGTTGCCTATAAGGAAAAGGACCTGGCATCGCTCGGAGGGGGGCATTTTTTCTTCGGCGAGGACCATCGAGGAGCATCCTTGATCATTTGGCGAAAAACCACGCACGAAACTGAAAAAAAGAACAGGGAATGAACGTCCGAGCGACGGCAAGAGGAATTGAGGCGGAAGAGGAAGAGCAGGCCAGCTTGTGTCGAAGAACCACAAGCTGCATGCATATAGAAGTTCGGAGGTCCGCGCGGATCTAGTGGATCTGCGCTGGACACCCCCTGGCGGCTCTCCGGCGCCGTCCCTGGTGCGCTCCGCGCGCCACGGAGGATGGTCCAGCGCCGCTCCTGGGATGCCGCGCAGACCTCCGAAAGTGTACAGTCGGGGCCCTGAAGAAGGAACCCTTTTCGTTGGGGCGGGGCTCCGCGTTCCTTAAGTGTTTCACAGTTTGCCTCAGGTTTTCCTTATGTTTACGATCGGGAATCGAAGTTGAACTTATGGAAAAAAAAGGGGCCTCGTTCCTTATTGAGGGTTCCTTAGGTCAACGCCCCGACTGTATGTTTATGTGCTGTGGTTCGTTATTCTTGCGGCGTTCGAGGCCGCGCATGGCCGCAAACTCTCCTCGTCTCCGCTCATTGCTGACGGGCGTGCGGCCGCTCAGCCACGTGCCCCATGACCGTCAAGGCGCGAGAGGATGATGAGGCATGGTCCGTAGACGGGCTAACGGCGATGTAGGTAACGGCGATGTAAGTTTCGGTATTGTGGGAACACGTGGTTCGCGCTTTCCTGCAATTCGCTGTGTCGTGTTCGCTCGATCCATTCGCAGACAGGACATATAGGAAAATGTGGTTCGTAATTCCCTACACTTCTGGTTCCCAACATCACCGTTAAGCAACATCGCCGTCAGCCCGGCCTTCGATGGTCGCTGGATCATTCCGGGAGTGGTCAGCCAACCACGTGACGACATCCATTCTCTGCCAGATTCGATGCTGGGCCAGAGGGCCGCAATCATATCGTGTTTGTCTTTGACAGGGGCTAGGTGCTCCACGTCGTCGTCGTTCTCGTGTGCCCCCTCGTCCTCTGTCCTCGTCGTCGTCCACATCGTCCACGTTGTCCTCGTCCTCGTCCTCGTCCTCGTCGTCCAGGTCCTCCGCGGCCTCCTCACTCCTCGCTCCTCGTGTCTGCTGACGCGGGTCCATGAGGCTCACGAACCAGGGGTCCCGCAGGCTGCACACCTCGCGCGCCGAAAACACCGCCAGCGGCTGCCAGCTCGAAGACAAGCGAGCAGAGTGCTTGCATCGTGCCTCGCCCAGGAGAGGACTCACTGCTGCCAAGGCGTCCGGCTCCGGCTCCGACTCCCTGGGCTGGGTTTCCCGAGCGGCCCCCGAACCCATGACCTACCTGGGCCTCCTCCTCCTCCTCCTCCTCCTCCTCCTACTCCTCTGGGGACTCTTGTCTTCTTGGAACTTCCAGGACCTTTCGGACGGAAGTCTGTGAGGGGGACCGCCTGGGATCTTCCAAAGAGTCCCTCTAAGATCCTTCCAAGTTGCAGACCGTCGACGCCTCTCTACACACTATATATGTATATATAGATATCGGCATACAAGTGTATAAATGTTTATATGCCTATATGTATATATAGGCATATATAACATATACACAGCAATCAACATATATAGACATACATAAATATACACACTACAAAATAGATATCGATATATGCGTGTGCTTATATTCGAGCCTCTGTGCCGCGGAGCTCTCGACCCCGCCCCTACAGGACCCTTGGCATCGCTCGGACGTGTGCAGCTCTATCTCGGCGAGGGCCATCGAGGAGCATCCTGGATGATCTCGCCAAAAAATACACGCACGAAGACAAAGAAAGCACGGGGAATGGAGGTCCGTACGATGGCAAGCAGGGTCACGGAGCTCTCGACCCCGTCCCTACAGGACCAGCTCTTCATGCCGAGTAGTTTTTGAACGGCTTGGGGGTCCCAGAGGCCGAGCACGACCAAGTATTTGCCGCAGTGGTTTCGCTACGACGTGAGCCCAGGCATACGTCGATGTGTGTTCTCAACCCGCGGCCTCATTTCCCCCTACCAGCTCCCCATGCCGTCCCAGCTTGCTATCTGATGGGCCCCCGAGCCCGAAACGGCCTCAGACCCGAAACCAGGAAATCGACAAGGTCGGAAAGAGGAACTCTTTGCAGTTCTGAGAGGGTGCTCTGGATTCCACAACAAGAGGGGGGTGGCTTGATTTGGGTCAGGAGGGGGAGGAGGAGGAGGAGGAAAAGGATGAGGAAAAGGAGGAGGAGGAGGAGGAAGAAGAAGAAGGAGGAGGAAGAGGAGGAAAAGGAGGAGGAGGAGGAGGGAGAGGAGGGGGAGGAGAAGGAGGAGGAGGAGGAGAGGAGGAGGAGGAGGAGGAGGAGGAGGATGGGGGGGCTGATTGGAGCTGCCCTAGAGGGTTCCACAGAGGGGGTCTGGGCACAAGGCCGCCTTCTCGTGGCTGGTCCGAGGGTGGGGAGTTTGAACCTCCTCGCCTGGGAGGGTTGTGGCCCCCTCCCTTTGACTGCGACATTTGGAGTGGGTGTCTGGGCCCTGGACCCCTCCTCTCTACCCCCCCTCCCCCCCCCTCCTCCTCACCCCCCTCCTTCCTCCTCCTCCTCCTCCTCCTCCTCCGTCTCCTCCTCCTCCTTCTCCTCCTCCTCCTCCTCCTCCTCCTCCTCCTCCGCGTGCAAGAAGTCCAACAAAATGTCGCGCAAACCAACGAACTGTGTCCCTCCGGGCCTGTTTGGGCGTCCTTTAGGGACGGCCCCCGAGCGGTCTCCGGGGGACCACGGGGCGGCCATCGGACGCGGGCAGGCGTCCGGGACGGCCGCGGCAGGCAGTCCGAGCGCTCCGCGAGCCTTGCAGGGGCCCGCCCCTCCAGCTGGAGGCGCGAAGGCGGCAGGGCCCAGAGCCGGGCTGCAGCGGCTCCCTTGGCATCGCTTAGACTTGCGCACTCTTTTGGACCATCGAGGAGCCTTTGGGGCCATCTTGCGAGCAGGTGCGCGCGCGATGCCGAAGAAAAGTGTATGGGGAAAGGGCGTCCGAGCAGTGGCGAGTTCCAGGATGTCGAGGCCTCTCGGCCACGCGCACAGGGGGGCATAGGGGGGATAGGAGGGCAGGCCTCTCAGAAACACCCCCGCTGCTCGGAAGGCGCGGGCCTTGTCTATAGATATAGAGCCGGCGCCCTGAAGAAGGAACCCTTTGGGTTGGGGAGGGGCTCGGTGTTCCTGAGTTTTTGTTTTGCAGTTCGCCTCATTTAGGGTTCCTTAGGTGAACGCCCCGACTGTAGAGCCGGCGCCTGCTCGGCCTCCTTCCAAGAAGGCTCCCTCCCTCCCCCGAGCGCGGCCGCCCATCGCGGCCCCCGACCGCGGCCGCCCATCGTGGCCCCGATCGTGGCTCCCTCCCTCCTCCTCCTCCTCCCCCTTCTCCTCCTCCTCCCCCTCCTCCTTCTCCTCCTCCTCCTCCTCCTCCTCCTCCTCATCCTCCTCCTCCTCCTCCTCCTCCTTTTCCTCCTCCCCCCCCTCCTCCTCTACCGCCCTCTGCGCGCCGCCGGTGTTTGATGCCCCCGCATGGTCGGCCTCTGGAGGCCGCTGCCGGGCCCCGGGGGCCGCAGGAAAGGACAGCGCGCAGGAGGCAGAGCTGCACAAGCAGTGGCGCTCTTGGCATCGCTCGGGCGTGTGCGCTTTTTTTTGTGGGCGAGGGCCATCGAGGAGTGCCCTGGATCACCGAGCAGCAGAGGGGACGCGCACGACAGCTGCAAGTGCACAGCGGGAGGGCCGCCCGAGCGCCGGCAAGCTCTCGGAGGTCCGCGCCGATCTCTCGGATCGGCGCGCCCCCCCCCCCCCCCCCCCCCCCCCGGCAACGCGCCCCCGGCGCCGCCCCTGGCGTGCTCCGCGCGTCAGGGAATGGGGCCCGGCGCCGATCCAAGAAATTCGCGCGGGCCGTCGAGCGTTTATGATTATGCCGGCCCTTCTTCCTGCAAAAGAAGCCGTCCTGTGGGTAGGGGGTCGGGAGGTCCAGGGGCCTCAGACTCGAGGATGTCGAGTCGTCGGGGGTCTTGGGTGGAGGGGGTGGCCATGAGGGCAGGGGGCTCCTGAGAAGGGCTCGGAGGGTTTGATGAGGGCCCCTTTTAGAAGTCGGGAAGGATTCCGAGCAGCCCCCCGCCCTCCTCCCAGTCTTGCGTGTAGCAGGCCGTTTTCCTCGCCCCCACCCCTCTTGCGCGCGTCGCCAACCACTGTAAAGGTCTTCGGGCCTCAGGGTGTCTCTCCTCAGCTCCAACTCGTCAAGGGCCCTCCGAGGAGGCCAGAGAGTCGTCCCGAGCAGCTGCCGCCTGATTCTCAGCACCAGATGGCCCGAAAACCAGCCGAGGGGAGGGATCCCTGACGTCCAGGCGTCGTGGCAAGTCAGAGCGGGCGATATTTGCCTCTTGTCGGGCCCAGGGAGTCTCGAATGCCAACACGTTTAGAAGTTTGCAATTGGCAGTAGCCCGCGGTAGAGCAGCGCGTGGCATGGCATGTCCTACCACTGCAGTGCACGCAGTAGCGTTGCTTTGAATAGCATTGCGCATCATGGGACAGCATAGCATGTCGCAGCATACCTTTGTCTGGTGCCTGGTCATGGAGATTCCCTTCCGCAGCGCTCGCAACCTCTGTCCCGCGGTCTCGAGGGCCGTCAAGCTTTCGCTTGCGTTGGGGCGCAAGCTGGCGCCCAGTGCGCTCTGGCCGCAAGCTAAAAGGCCGGCCTTCGAGCCAGGAAGACCGCGGGGCAAAGGCGGAGTGAGAAATCGCGCGAGTACATGCAAGGAGGGATGCAAGCGGACTGGAGAGGGGAGAGGCTTGGCGGGCTCCCGAGGGGGCTCCAGAGGCACGCAGGGACTCATAGCGCCCACGTAGGGCTCAATCGAAGACCTCCAGGGAATCGCAGACTCATTACATTCTTTTGTAGCCTCGAGCATCTCTGAATCCTCCGTCTCGGCAAACCGTACCCCTGCCGCAGTCTGTTCTCGTCTCGCACGCTGTTCCTGCGTCTTGTCAGGCTTGCCAACCTCCAGGGAATCTCAGGCTAACCAACCATGTCCCATCGTAGCATGGCATGCGTAGACTTACGCATACATTGGAGGTCGGGTGGTTAGATCGAAGTGAAGCGGAGACCCCCCACCAGGAAATCGGATTCGGTTTCGAATCGTGCGCGCGGGCGGGCGAGGCGAAGCTGCGTGGGCGGGCGAGCGGAATGAACTCGTCGTTGCCATGACGAAACTGGGCCAAATGATGTTGCCCCCTCACTGATTGGCCAGCGGTGTGGCCCGGGGGTGTCCAGCCGGTTGGCTGGCGGTAGCTTCGGGGTGTTCCGATGGTGTCTCGATGGTGTCACCCGATGGTGTCACCCGATGGTGTCACCCGATGGTGTCACCCGATGGTGTTCCGATGGTGTCCCGAGGGTGCCCCGAGGGTGTCTCGATGGTGTCTCGATGGTGATCCGATGGTGTCCACATGGTGTCCCAATGGTGTCCAGATTGGTGTTAACATGGTGTCCCGATGGTGTCACCCGATGGTGTTCCGATTGTGTCCCTTTTGTGTGCCGATGGTGTCCCGATATGGGGTCTCGATGGCGCCCCGATGGCTTCCCGGTGGTGTCTCGATGGTGCCCCGATATGGTCCTGATGATGTCTCGATGGTGTCCCGATGGTGCCCCGATGGTTGTTCCGCGAGCTGGATAGATAGATATTTAGTGAGATTGATGGGTAGTGAGCAGATAGATAGTGACATCGATTGACAAATATTAGACGAATGGACCATAATGTTGTCCCGATGGTGCTTCGATGGTGTTCCGGGGGTGACCCGTTGGTGTCATTTTATTGTCCGCAGGGTGTTCCGATGGTGTCCCATCGAAGTTGTCATCAGCTGGTCCCCCCCACAGCCTCCTTATTATTCGAGGGGTGGTCGTACAGGTACGTCGCATCTTGTAGTATGTTGCTTGCTCAAGAAGCCAGGGCCCAGGTCCTGAGAAACAAGCTGGGCAAGCCAAACTCCGTTGGCAAGCCTGACTGGGGACAAATGTGGACGTACAGGCATGGTGCATGTTAGTGCACAGCTCGCTCCAGGTGCCAGGGCCCAGGTCCTGAGAAGCAAGCCTGCCAGTCTACACCGGGGCAAGCCGAACTCCGCAGGCAAGCCTGACTTGGGAAAAATGCAGCAGCAGCAGCGTGGCTCAACCACAAGGTGCGCGTGGGGACGACCAAGCGGGAAGGAGGAGGAGGGGGAGGAGGAGGAGGAGGAGGAGGAGGAGGAGGAGGAGGAAGAGGGCTTGGTCCTGGAGGGATCGAGATCTGGCGGCGCGCACGGGAGAGCGTTGCGCGAGAGGGCCGGCCCTGCGAGGAGGCGGGGGCTTTGCCCCTCAGAATCGGGGGCGGAGAAGAGGGGGGGGATGATTGGGGGGGGATCTCATGGCGGGGGCCATGATAGCTCCCCAGAGTTCATGGCGCCTCTTCTTATTTCATGACGTCCCTGGCCCCCCCGCTGGGCCGCGCACAGGCCGCCGGTCATGACTTGCACTCCCCCCCTCTTGGACACCCCCCTCTTGGCCGCTCCCGGCAGAAGGCATGGGTCTCCGTAGAGGCTCGACTGCACGTAAGAGTGACCCTGCGCTGGAGTGACCTTTGGTGCGGGCCCGCCTGGGACCCCGCGATCGCCGAACGCGAGGCGGCAGCGGCGTCTTGCGCGCTTGTGTTTGGTCCCCCCGCGGCCCCCGAAAAGCCGCGCCCCGAAGGCCACTCTTTCCCAGGGCCGCTCTTGCGTGCAGCCGAGGGGCGTCTGGGTGCTCCCGAGGAGGCTTCCTGGTCGCCCGGGGTGCTTCTACGAAGCCACCTGCCGTCTTGGGAGGCCCCCCCCCTGCCTGCTGAGGAGGTCGCCCCCTCGCGCCATCCCCTCGAGCGCGCCGCAAGGAGAGGCTGATACTCTTCTTCGGCGGAAGCCGGCGAGAGTAAAAGCCAGACGTGCATCAGACGCTACTCCTTTTTGGGATATACGGTTTCTGCAGCGAGCCAAATGTGTGTCTGAGTGCCCTTTGTAAATGTTTGCCTATCTCAGGCGTGAGTACACCGTGAGGAATGAGCATTGCGTTGCTCGGGCAGCTTCCATCTGAGAGCGGTCTGGCATCACCCCTGTCTCCGATCACACTCGTGCCACGCCGGTCAGGTCTGGTAGCAGCTCGTGATTGCGCATTTCACCGCGGAGCTTTGGGCACCCCGCGACACCGTGAGCGAGGCGGGGACGGGATACTGCTGCAAATCAGTAGCGCACGTGTGTCTCGCTGTAAGCGCGCGCGTGTGTGTGTGTGTGTGTGTGTGTGTGTGTGTGTGTGTGTGTGTGTGTGTGTGTGTGTGTTTTCGAGAGAGAGAGAGAGAGAGAGAGAGAGAGAGAGAGAGAGAGAGAGAAAAAAAAAACAACAAAAAAACACAACAACAAAAAGACATGTACATGTATGTGTAACTCTGCAGACCTATCAGTTATATGTATAGATAGAGAAACAAACGAGAGAGAGAGAGAGAGAGAGTCAAGCGGCATGCGTGCGCAGACGTTTGGTTTTCTCACGGGTGCATCGCCCACCCAGCCGCACACAGAAGACTTCTCCTCGGAAGGCGCGGGGGCTTCTGAGAAATCCTTCAGAGAAGGACTTCTCCTTCTCGCTTGCCCCCTGCGCTCGCCGCCAGTAGGAGGGCGACGATGACACGGAAGAGGATGCGCTGCATGAGGGGCAGGAGCAGGGAGACAAGGAGGAGAGGGAGGAACAAGGGAAAAAAGGGCAGGAAGTGCGCTGAGGCGCGGCGAATCGGGAGCATGAGTAGGAGGACGAGTCAAGCTTACCAGGTCGGGCGAGTCGGAGGGCCCCGCCGGGTCCCACCCTCCAGCCCGCAGCGTACGACCCAGTTCTTGCAGAACTTGACACTGGGATTGCAGCGCGCTCCCCCCTCGCAAACGGAAGGCGCTTTCGCGCGGCCGACTTGGCGAAGGGAGAAATTTGCTGGCCGCGCAGGGCTGGGAGCAGCAAATCTTGTGATGGGCGAGGCGACGACGAAACACGTGCCGCGCTGCCACGGCACCGCCACTTCCACTCGCAAGCTGCGCGGCGCTTGGGCGAGGTCGGCATTCGGCCCGCTCTCGCGTGGCCCCGCCGTTGCTGCTGGTTTCCTCCGATCCGGCCAAGCCACGCGCCACGCCCGGGCAGGAACGCCATTTCTCACAACCCACCAAAAAGCACCCCACACCCAACCCGAAGGCCTCAATTTGCCCTCCATTTCCGGTGGGGGGGGGAGGATCGGGGAACCCTGTGAAAACACAGATGGACCAACCCGACATTCGGGTCTTCGGGTTGGGTTGGGGTGGTCTGGTAGGTACAGTCGGGGCGCTGCGTAAGGAACCCTTTTCGTTGGGGAGGGGCTCGGTGTTCCTTGATGGTTCTGCAGCTTGCCTTCGGCTTTCCTGTGGCTTCCCACCGGAAATCGAAGTTTCTAACTTGTGGGCAACAGGGGCCTCGTTCCTTAGTTATCGTTCCTTAGGTCCACGCCCCGACGGCAGCCAACTTCCGAGCGAAGAGTGCGCACGGAGCTCGGGCGAGGAGGCCACGGGCGCCCACCGCGCGCGGGCCCACCGAACACGGCGAGCGGAGGGACTGTGCGCTTCGCGCCGAGGCGGGGGCGCCCCCCCCCTTTCGGGGCGAGGGCTTGCGCCGGCGCCGAGGCGAGAGTGACGTTTTACCAGAGTCGGGGTCTGTACACTGTAAGAACGGTTTTTTGAAGGCAGATCTGCCTTCAATAAGAACGGTTTTTTGAAGGCAGATCTGCCTTCAATAAGAACGGTTTTTTGAAGGCAGATCTGCCTTCAAAAAGTTGGTATACTCTGTAAGAACGGTTTTTTGAAGGCAGATCTGCCTTCAATAAGAACGGTTTTTTGAAGGCAGATTTGCCTTCAAAAAATTGGTCTACTCTGTAAGAACGGTTTTTTGAAGGCAGATCTGCCTTCAAAAAACCGTTCTTACAGATTGTTCGGTTTTTAATTCTTCGAGAGCTCCTTGATTTCTTTGGGGGGCCGAGCTCCTTTCATTTCTAACTCTTCTGTCCTGGGCCTCTTCCTGGCCACGAGGGGGCCGGGTACCATCAAAAACGAGCACCATTTGAGATGAGCACGACAAGGCGATAAAAAATGAACGACGTGTACACGTAGGGAATCAGGACATGCGGAAGAGAAGGGACAAGAGCATGAGGGAAACAGATGATGCATGGGCGCATAGGAAGACGAACGTGGGAGTGGGGGGAATGGCTTGCGAGGGGGGAGGGGAGACGGACGAGAAGAGGAGGACGAGGAGGAGGAGGAGGAGGAGGAAGAAGAGGACCCATGTAAGCCAGAGACCCACCAACGATGTTGGAACATACCCCCCTCCGAGCTCCCTCCTCATGGGCCTCTAAACGGGTTCATTGCCACTGAGGAACGTGCCCCATTGAGAGACAACTGCTTGAAGATCCAGCAGCGTGCCAAAACACCATTCTCGGGACCCCACCGTCACGAGTCAAACTGAGTCTTGCGTCTTGGCGGTCTCGAATCGTGCTAGAACGCCGCGCTCCTGGGACTTCAACACCACGCATCGGCGCAACTGCTGCGGCCCGGCGGCCCTGGTTCGCTCCAGGCAGCCTCGGGCACGCTGGCCACGGGAATCCGTGCAACAGCTGCAGCTCTTGGAAACGACTGTGCGCGGTGCTGGTGCGAGAGCCACATTTTGAACAGGAGCCGCCCTCAATCCGCGAATCTCTGCCAGATGTTTGGAACGACCGTGTGCGGCGCTGCTTTGAAACGAATGTGCGCGGTGCTGGTGCGAGAGCCACATGTTGACAAGGAGCCGCCCTCAATCCGCGAATCTCTGCCAATGGTTTGGAACGACTGTGTGCGGCGCTGGGGCGAGAGATCCACATTTCGAACCTGGCCCGCCCTCGCTCCGCCGAGCTGTTTGCAGTGTCTTGAGACGAGCGCGGGCGGCGCTACGGCGAGAGAGCCGCGCTTTGAGAAATGCCCCCGCCCTCGCTCCGTTGAACTCTTGCCGCGTCTGAAGGCGAGTGTGCGCGGCGCCACGGCAAAGGGCCACACGTTGAACGAGAGAGCCAATGGGTAAGGCAGTCTGAGGCGAACGCCCAGCTCGCCCTTCCGACTGGCCTCGGGGTGCAACAGGGAGGAGTTGTGTATAAGGAAGAGGGATGGCGATGGAGGAGGAGGAGGAGGAGGAGAGACCAGGAGGAGGAGGAGGCGGAGGAAGGGGTGGAGGAGAATGATGATTATGATGAGGAGGAGGAGGAAGAGGAGGGGAAGGAGGAGGAGGAGGAGAAGGTTGGGCAGGAGGAGGGACGAAGATGGCAGCTGAGGACACAGACCCACGTCCTCGCACGGGTGGGCCGATGTCTGGCCCTCGAGGGCGCGGCGGGTCCGAGTTCTCGCGGGGGCGCCGTGCCCTATCAGAGACGCCGTCGCCCAAGGAAGAGGGGGGGATGATCACGAGGCCCGGGCGCAGGAGACCGCTTGCGATGGAGGAGGACGTGGAGGGGGGGGAGAAGGAGGACGGCGGGGCGGCGGGGGCGACGAGGGGGACGACGACAAGGAGGAGGAGGAGGAGGAGGAGGAGGAGGAGGAGGAGGAGGAGGTGGAGGAAGAGGATGAGGAGGAGGGGGAGGGGGAGGAGAAGGAAAGAGGACCAGAGCAGAGAAGGGGCAGGACGTTCGAATGAGGAAATGGACGGAGGACGAGGAGAAGGAGGAGGAGGAGGAGGGAACAACGAAGACGAGAACAAATCATCAGGGGTCACGCATGGATGAGGGTGAGCAGGAGTGCGGAGTGCGGAGGCCGAGGGACGCAGTGTCCCGACCGCAGGCCGCCTCAGGAGAGAACCAAGTTCACCTCGCTGAGGGCCTCGCGGGCGAGCTCCCGATGTAGAAGCCTTCGTACACGTCGTCGCTCTCCTCGATGAAGGGCGCGAGCCGACGATCGCGCTGCCGTTGACGGTCGGCTTCCCGTCTGTCAGTTGCGCAATGACCTCGCACGTTCTTGAGAATGCGGGTGCCCAGCCGCATCGGCGGCGCCGTGGCCGTCAGCATCCAGCTAGGCGGCCGCCGCTCTGCCCCCTCGAGATGATCATCAAGGCACGGCGGGCACCAGCACAGCGCAGAGTGGCGCATCCCGCGAGGATCCCCGTATGTCCCCCGAGAGCCGTCTGGGAGCGTGATTGCCGCAGCTTGGCCACGGATGGCCTCAACCGTGGCACTCCAGGACGACTCGTCGAGGGCCTCGGCAATGGCCCCCTCCCTCGCCCCCGTCCGAGGACCGCGTCTCGGGCGGAGCGGCACCTGGATCCCAGGCGTCGATGGCCGCAGCCACCTCATCGCCACCATCCGAGGACAGCGTCTCGGGCGGGGCGGAAACGGCATTCCAGGCTTCGAAGGCAGCGGGCGCCAGCTCATCCAGGAAATCATCTGCTTCGCAAAGGCCTCGCCGACAGTGATGGGCACCAGCACCAACGAAGAATGTCGGCGCCAGCGGACACCAGCACAGCCTATAAAACGGAATGGTATCGGAAGGCGGCACACGCCCCTCGGCGACCCGCTTCCCACGACCTCCAGCTCCGAATGTGGCAGGCTCAGCGACGCAGATCTCCACAGAGATGTCCAAGTCCGTCGCGTCTCCAAACCGCCCCTCCCCGAACTGGCGGCCTTCCAGGCGGTCGCTCTTCTGCAGGCGGCGCAAGTCCTCGCATGGCGCTGTAGCGATGGACACTCCCTCAGGGGCATCCGCATGAAGCGCCACGATGCGCCGTAGCACCTCCTCGGCCGAAGGCGCCTCCCCCCGCAGCAGAGCGCTCAGGGCTGGCGCGAGGGCGGCGATGCGGTCGGCTATCTCCGCGTCGCCGACGACGGCCTCGAAGCACTTCCGCACCGCGCACAGCTCACGCTGCGCCGCGTCGCTCTCGGCCCTGGCCGCAGCCAGGCCGTTGTCGGCAGCCTCCAGCGCCCGCCGCCGCGCGGCCGTGCGCTCGGCCCGCGACCGACGCTGCTGCCAGCCTCCAGGATCGCCGTCCAGCAACCCCGCCCGTGCAATCATACCCATAGGCCGAAAGCCCTGCCCCCCCCCCAAAGGCCCTCACGCCCGCCCGGGATAGGGGTACGCCGAGGGAAAAAGGTCCAGGAGCGAGCCAACATGGCTATGGCGATGAGGGTGAGGAGGAGGAGGAGGAGGAGGAGGAGGAGGAGGAGGAGGAGGAGGAGATGTAGGAGGAGGTGTAGTTCTGCCTCCATTTCCCGCGTCGTCGGCACAGTGAGCCAACGTACCGCGTCTACACTAGAAACCAACGGAAACAGGAGTGGTACATAAATGAGCTTGGGGCCGCCTATTCGTCCTATGCATACGCAGAGCCGTTGCCAGAGCTTGGGGCACAGGCGCGGCAAGCGGTGCGTAGGCCGTGATGTGGCAGCTTTGCTCCGCCATCGTCCGTAACGCGGCGAACCCGTCGAACTTGCGCGGCGGCCCCATGACGGAAACCATGGAAGGAATCCCTGGCCAAGCCAGCCAAGGGCTTTATGTAGCACCCAGGCGGGCACACAGCTTTGTTCTCGCCGTGGCAAGCTGCAAGAGCAACCTGCCAGCAAGCCGCCAGCACGCCCACATGTGCACGTGCACCGTTTGAATAAGTCTGCAGTCGCGCTTGGCTTCAAGCATGGGCTGTGCGTGAAGCTGGGTGTTGCGTCTCATATGGCCGAAGCGCACCGTACCCCCGTCCGCTTGCACAAGGGCACATTCAGCGGGGAGGCCAACAGGCTGCCCATCTTGCGGAGAAGCACTCGGGCGCGAAGGAACGGCTGGACTCCTAGTTTTCGCGGTTCCTTGGCGCAGAAACGACGCTCGTGGAGCACATGCGGCTTGCCGCTCGTGCATGTCGGACTTGCCAGAGAAAAACTGCGACAGAAAAGGTGGACCGCCTCGGTATCCCACTGGGTCCAGGAGTTCGCGCCCACAGCGCCGAGCTCCACAGTCTGTGCTAGCTTCTCTGCCTGCGTCGCACGATCTTTGAGCGAAGGCCGCTGGGTCCGTCTTCCGCGCGGCTGCGTTCCAAGCGTTGCTGCAAGCTACACGTTCGCATGCAGTGGTCGGGTTTTCGGCTTGTGCCGGAGGTCACCTGGTGTCCACGACTTCCACAGGCTCCAGACGTATCCACGTGCGCCTGGGGGGCCCACGAGGCTTCCAGAGACTGGACGCAAACCAGAAGCACCGATAACGCTTCGAATCAGAGATCCTCGATCCTCGATCCAAGTCGTGGTCGACGGCTGCGGCACCGTCGAGGACGGCGACGGCGACGACGGCGGCTGCGACAATGTCGAGGACGGCGACGTCGACGACGAGGAGGACGACGACGACGGCGGCGACGGCGACGACGCCCTCCTGCCTGCCCAGGCGGGGCGGCTGGCTGACCGGCGGGCGAGGGGGGCGCGCCCCGTCTGCGGGCCTCGAGGCGCGCGGCGGCGCCCGGCGCTGCGAGCAGAAGGGCCCGGGCCTCCCAGCTGGGGTCCGAGCCAGTGGGGCCCGAAGGTCGCGCCGCATCGCCGACGCATCGGATACAGTCGGGGCCCTGAAGAAGGAACCCTTTTCGTTGGGGAGGGGCTCCGCGTTCCTTAAGTGTTTCGCAGCTTGCCTCAGATTTCCTTATGTGTTCGATCGGACATCGAAGTTTAACTCATGGAAAAAAGGGGCCTCGTTCCTTATTTCGGGTTCCTTAGGTCAAGCCCCCGACTGTATGCGGCTCGACGTGGAGCCCAATTTTTTCCACGCCGATGGCGCCGATCGCGCCGATGCAGCGCCGATGCAGCGCCGATGCAGCGGCGATGCACCGGCGATGCGGCGCGATGCTCCGACCCCACCTGCTCGGACCCCATCTGGGAGGCCTCTAGACTAGACTCTAGACGGGGGTGGGGCCGAGTGGGTTTTTTTTTGTGATTTGTCTACGACGGGACCTGAGGCCGTAGCTCGCACGATGGGCCGTTCTGGAGCGCGGCACGGAGCGCTGAGCATCTTGTGCCAAGCAGCTCGGACCGAGCCCGATGGTAGAAATTGCCGCTGGCTGGGTGGAGCTCTCTTTGGAATTTCTTCGCAGAGGGGCGACGAGACCTTGTGGAAGATGGACGCTACGTCGACGAGTGCCCTCTGAGAGGGACAGGCGCTTCTTACAGGTCCACGTCGCTTCCAGCGGCGACAGTGAAGAGGACGACGAGAGCCGAGGCTCGAGGATGCTCGAGGATCTGAGCCCTTCCCGGTGCTTCTGCTTGCCCCTGGAAGCCTCCCAGGACCCCGGGGGAGGTCCAGAGACCTCCGGGATCTCTGAGAAGGTTCCGCGCAGGAGGAGGAGGAGGAGGAGGAGGAGGAGGAGGAGGAGGAGGAGGAGGAGGAGGAGGAGGAGGAGCCTCGGGAGCTCCACACAGGGTGCGGATGAAGCCAGGTGCCAGAGGCGGCCCGTCACGCAGCGCGGCGCACGGGGAGACCATTGCTCACCACAGGGGGTCCGGGGCCCAGTTCTCTGGCCGTGCTCGCCAACATGTGTCCGAGCGGCAGAGGGCCAGGCTTCGAACCGCTGCCCCCTCCCCCCCCTATCTTCGCTTTGTCGCTCTCCATGCAGTCGTCCTCCGGCGCCGTGGGCACTCCAGAAGCCCCCCCCCCCAGGCCCCCTTTCCAGGCCCCCCCCCCTTTCGCCCCGCCCGGCGCCCCGCGCCGACGCTGGTTGGCGGAGCTCGCTTCGGGTGGCCTCGGGGAGCCATGCCCCCCTCCCCGCTGCCTGGGGCCGCTGCCGCCGGCCCCGGCTGTCGCAGGCGACTTCTACAGAGGGCTCGATCCCCGCGAGCTCCGCCCCCCAAAAATGGGCCGCCCAGACATACACTCCCGGGGGGGCTGTTTGGACGCACCCCTCTCGAGGATGGACGCCCCCCTCCCCTCCGTATTCCCCCAAATTTGGCTAAACGGTCTTGGTCCATTCGAGGACCCCACCAAAAAAGTCCGTGATTGGGGTCGCCATACCTCCTGTGTGCTGCTCCCTGGAGGAGGCGAGGGAGCCGCGAGAACCGAGCTTCAGGAGGTGGTGATCGAGGGTGCTCCGGTTTCTGGTCGTCCCGGGCCACTAGCATGCTTCTCGTCGCCGCGGCTGGATTCTAGCCAGGCCTGTGGCCAGACTGCGCCGCGGAGCGGCCTGTGTGGTGAATTACGTCGTGCAGAGTCCGGGGTATGGTCGGACGGAGGTATAAGATCGAGGTCGGTTCGAGGAGGGTACCCTAATGTTCTTCGTGTTGGTTGGATGTTCTTGTGCACCCTGAGGAGGGTACCCGTGGATGTTCTGTGCGTTTTGGCCGACGGAGGGTCTCGTGTTCTTGAGGGGTGTTCTTCTGGCCTAGTTCCGATTGTACATGAAAACGAGCCCAGGTAATGTAGTCGAAAATCCGCGAGCCTGGTCGACAGAACATGTCTTTCGCCGCCCTCTTGCCAGTCCGAACACCCACTCGTCGGCTCATTGTCGTCTAGCCGCCCCGACTGCAAACGGATGCATTGACAGCCTCACGAGCCCCCCATAAGCCAATTTGTTTACCGAAGACAGCGTTATTGTCAAATTGTCGTTGTCTTCTGGCGCTGGGAAACGTGGGCGCTCGACTGATATTGAGCCCTTGTCTCGCGAACGGCCGTGGCTGTTGGCAACTGCGTCTGTGGCCCACCAGAGGCTTCTTCGGGATCGTAGCTCTTTGCTCTTATACACAGCTCTGTTGCGCTAGGCGAGGTGAACAAAATATGTACTCTGCTACAAGCTTGCCGATACTGTCCAGAGCGTTATTGTCCGTCGCTGCACTCTGGCGACATCGCGATGATCTAAAGTGTTTTCGCTGGTGCTTCACGGAAGTGCAGGACGCCCCCCCCGTTTCGCCTTCGGCCTCAGAACCCGTAATCCTAAGTTTGTTGCGCGCTTTGCCTGTTTGATTGCGCGTGGGCAGATCAGGTCAGGAAATAAGGGCACGAAGGCAGAGGATTCGCGCTTACCGACGATATCGCTGGTGGTGACAGCAGATCGGGACCACCACGCCGGAAAGTCAGTCTGTACACAGAGGCATCAGATCTTGCCTTGGCTTATTGGGAGCACGCATGGGCTGGCATACATTCTAGCACAGCTCTAATCGCCAGGATGCCGGGATCCCTTTCGACACTTTAGTGAAACGAGCTTCTAGGCAAGAATGTCGGCGTGGCAGCTGGTCCTGCGAGGTTAGCATGTTGAGGTTCTGAATGTCGGGTATTATCTAATTCCTGTGCTGTGCTGTAGGGCGAGTGAATCTGGACCTTCCACCACTCTGCCCCTGAAGTTCTGCGGACAGAGCACACATTTGCGCTTCAGAGCACACGTGCCGAACCGAATGCTGAAATCACACGTTATTGCAGCAAACACGTTTTACTTGTGCTTGGGTCGCGAACCTCATTTGTGGTGCTTCGGCGATACACATCAACATGACGGATGCTTCCATTTGTTACTAGCACCGGCGAGGTAACATCCGAAACATTATGTATGGTTGATGCCAGCTCTTGCTCTTCCCATTCCGCAGCTCGCGCGGCTCTTGCCATTCCCCGATTTCGGCGGGCGGCCAGGTTCCTTGGTTCCTGGTTCTTGGTCCAGGGTTCTTGGCACGGAACAGAATCAGTACAACCCCCTACCCCCCTAACGTGGACTACCCACCTATCGTGACCCGGACCTCGGTGACACCGAGCCCGACCCGCGTGGAATGGGCGTGACACCCCCCTACATTTTGGCGACGCGCTTGTCTCGGAATGATGCTCTAGCTTGTGCGTGGGCCACATCTTCGATTCAAATGTTGTTGCCGCCTAGGCGCCAGCGACGTTTTTCATTGAGAACGTCGTTCTCGTTTTGGCGCCAGCCAAATGTCTGATTGAAAATGCTGCTGTCGCCTAGGCGCCGGCTACATCCTGCATTGTGTCGTTCTCGCATTGGCGCTGGCCAGATCTTGGATTGATGATGTGGCTGTTGCCTGGGCGCCGGCGACATCCTGTATTCAGCATGTCGTTCTCGCCTTGGCGCAGGCCACATTTCTGATTGAACATGTTATTGCTGCCTCGGCGCCCTCGACATTCTTCATTGAGCATGTCGTTCTCGTTGTGGCGCCTGTCGCATGTCTGCTGGAATATGCTGCTGTTGCCTAGGCGCCACCCGCACCTTGTATTTGAGCATGTCGTTCTTGCTGTGGCGTTGGTCACATGTCTGATGAACAATGTCGCTGTCGCCGAGCCAGCCATCCATATCTGATAGACAATGAACAATGACTGCTGTCGATTCAGCGCCAGCCATATCAATGATTGCGAACGTTGCTCTCGCTTCAGCGCTGGCCACACCCACGATTGCGAAAGTGACTCTCGCCTCAGCGCCAGCCACATCCATGATTGCGAATGTTGCTATCGCTTCAGCGCCGGCCACACCAACGATTGCGAAAGTGACTCTCGCCTCAGCGCCAGCCACATCCATGATTGCGAATCTGGCTCTCGCCTCAGCGCCAGCCACATCCATGATTGCGAACGTTGCTCTAGCTTCAGCGCCGGCCACACCCACGATTGCGAAAGTGACTCTCAGCGCAAGCCACATCCATGATTGCGAATGTTGCTATCGCTTCAGCGCCGGCCACACCCACGATTGCGAAAGTGACTCTCGCCTCAGCGCCAGCCACATCCATAAATGCGAATCTGGCTCTCGCTTCAGCGCCAGCCACGCCCACGATTGCGAAAGTGACTCTCTCCTCAGCGCCAGCCACATCCATGATTGCAATGTTGCTCTCGCTTCAGCGCCGGCCACACCCACGATTACGAAAGCTACTCGCGCCTTAGCACTGGCCACATCCATGATTGCGAAAATTGCTGTCGCTTCAACGCCAGCCAGAATCTTTCTTGGAAACGACGAGGGGTTTGTGATACAGTTTGCATGCTTGCATTGCATGTTGCTGTGTCGCCCCATTCTGGCGCATCATTGGCTACAGCGCGCGCGTGACACACTGGTGTCGCCGAGCCGTTGGTCACATTAGCGTAAATGGGTCAGGTTAGCTTTGGCGCAGTTTCGACAAGGTCTGGGTCAGGTGAGGTGGGGGATTTGCCACGTTAGGGGAGTGGGCTTGTAGAGATACGCAGATTTTCCGAAGGGCCCGCGGCCCACTTGTGAAGTCCAAAACCCGGATAGCAGGGCGCCAGAATGGCGTGGGAAGGCTTGTCGAAGCATCCTGGAAGCTCCTGGAGAGAGCTT